TGGAAAATCTGACTATTCAGAATGATTCATTCCTCCAAATATCTGGGGAGTCACAGTTTTATAGTTCTGAAATAAAAAGAAAAGTTAGTCTGTTGTGTGGTACATTTTTGGCGTTCTTATCACCCAGTTTGGGAAATCCTCATTCAACATTATTTAACACCCAACCATTGCATTACAAAAAATTATTCAAATGTCTCTACCTTATGCAAGACAGAGAAATATGAAATGGAAGCCAGCTAGCATATTTGTTGATGCAGCTTGCTCAACAAATGGTGGTCATTTTTGGAGCTCCAGAAAGAAGAGAATGTGATGCTTCTTCTCAGCCACTCTCCCCTAAATTTCTGGGGTTCAGATACCTCCAGGCTTGACAGTTATGGTCATGCCAGATTCTGCTGACCACTACAGCCTGGAGCTGTAGTGTAGCCAAGTGTAACTTGACCATCATGACTGGCCTTTTGGTGCTGCTGGTTAGGTTCTTACTCACATAGCCTAGGGGATATAGTCTGGACTAAGCTAGTTCTTGGTGAATTCCCACAGCTTTATTAGCTACCCTACCCCACCCCCATGCATGCCTGAAGTTTGTAGAGTGTCCAGGAGGGAGACTAAACAAGTGTGTGCTAGAACAGAAATGCACAGCTGTCACTTGTTCTCCCTTTCCTTGTCCCCCACATCTGCTTACCAAGTCCATTGGTTTTACCTCTAAATGGCTCCCAAGTCTCTTCTCACCTTTAATTACTCCTTGGCCTTTGCTCAGACACTCAGTATCCCTCACTTGAATCCCCCTGACCTTCTCGTCCCCTCTACTACTTTGTCTACACAGCTATCTCGAATCACACTCCCAACATGGAGCTAAGCAGGGTCTCACTACTTAAACTCCTTCCATTGGGCCCACCCAAGGTCTAGGCTGCTTGGCCAGTCTTCAAGGCCTTTCTGCAGTCGGACCAGCCTTTGTCCTGAATGCATGCACCTTCTTTAGGCCTCGCTCTTGCCCTGTATGTTCTGAACAGTCCAGTCCCTCTTTTTCCATGCTTCCCTGCTTTTGTTCATGCATGCCTACACCTCAAATCTTCTCATTCCCCCTTTGTCTTCACTAGCTCCTCTTTCTCCTTAATCCTACCTCAGATATCACAGAAGTGCCACCTGCTCAGAATGCTTTCCTGTCCTGTCTCCCTTAATGGAGTTCATTCCTCCTTTCTGCATGCCTCTGTATTTCTCTTGTTTATTCATCCAGCCAGACTTGGTCTGAGCATTTGCTCTCTGCCAAGCACTGTTCATGGGACTAGGGATAAAAGATGAAAAGGCCAAGATTCTACCATCACAGAGCTGAGTCCTTAGGGAGATGATGGTGTCATTGCTACTCTTATGGGTACAAGGTACAGTTCGTAAGTCAGGGAAGGGGAGCCTGATCCCTGGGAGGGTTAGAATCAGCTTATGTTAAAAAGGAGAAGTTTATGCTGACCCTTGAGGCCTGGGATGCATTTGGCAAGCAGATGTGCTAGAGAGAGGGTGTTTCAGGCAGAGAGAGACCATGGGAAGAAGGGGCAAGTGGGTCTCAATTGCTAACATGGAGGTAGGAGGGTTAAGGGAAGAAGTGGTAGAAGATGAGTTTGGATTGACAGGCAGGGATTAGGTCATGGAGGGCCTTATTCAGAAGTTTGGGTTTGGTCCTGGGACCAGCAGTTAGTGTAATGGCTATGTCACTGAACTCCCATGTAGTTGACCGCGGTTCGAGTCCTGAACCTGGTGGCTTAAACTCACGCCAAGCGCGTGTGCATGCGTGCCCAAGATCCCGAGAGAATGGAGGAAAAGGGATTGCAGCATGGTCACACACACACCCCTCTCCCCCAGGGGGTGATTTCTTGCTTTCTGTCTCTCTGTCTCTCTCTGGCTTTCTGGCAAGTGCTCGTGTCCTATAGCAAAAATAAAAAAAAAAAAAACCTCTCCAACAACAACAACAGAAAGAAGTTTGGGTTTGGCCCTCAGCTTAGATAATAAGGAACCACTGAAGATTTCCAAGCATGGGAGTGACTTGATCAGATTTGTCCATGGAAGGTTGGGGGCAGTAGGACTGGTGGTAGCCCCGAGCACTTGCTGTGACCTCAGCCTCTGCACCCTTAAGGAAGAAGGCATTTCACACATTCTCATTATTCCCACCCCTTCTGTGCCTAACACAGAGCTGATGTAGCTTTATTGGGATAGTCCTGCTTGCACAGAATAGTGTGTGCCTCCAGTTGGCTTTGGGCTGCTGGTATCATTTGAGCTTTCCTACCACATTGACCCTTCTAGGTTCTTAGATACCTGGTAAAAGATACTTGTGGGCATATTGAAATGCTGGCTGCATTAGCATTTGCATATGGATAGAGAACCTACAATCTGAGCCTTTTAAAAATACTTTATATATATATATATATTTGAACAGCTGGTATTTGCTGATATTTTCACATGACTGAAGAAAATTTCAAAAAGGTATTTAAAAAAAGGTATAAAAAGGAATATATTAAGAAGCATCCCTTCCCCTTTCTTGCCCTAAATAGCCACTTTTATTAGTTTTTTTGAATGCTTCTTGTTGGGTTTATTTATGAAAGTACTAGTTAGTAGCTGTAAATATGTAAGCTATCTAAACCTATTTCTCTCTCTCTCTCTAGCTTTCTCTGTATATACATTCCTGTCCCCTCTCTTACACAAAACAAAGCACATTATCTTCACTGTTTTGTATCTTGCCTTTTCAGTTAATGAAATATCTAGAAAATCCATCAATCCACAGAGAATGTTTTCACTTTTTGTAAGTTGCATAGCCTTCTATTGTGCAGGTTCACCTTAATTCATTTAATCAGTCCCCTTTTGATGGGCATTTGGATTGTTTCCAGTTTTATGCTCTTATAAACTATGCTGCAATGAGTATCTTGGTATATAGGTCATCTTGTACCTGTACAGGCATGTCTTGTAGGATATTTTCCCAGAAATGAGATGATTGGGTCAAAGTATAACTACATTTTTTTTTGGTAATAACAAATTGTTATTGACCATTTTTAAAAAGTTTTAAGTTTATCATATTTTTTTTTTTTTTTATGAGAGAAAGAAAGAAAAAAGAAAAGAAAAGAAAAGGAAGGCAGATTGACAAGCATCCTTAACAGGGTCTTATTCCCCAATTCCCCCTCAAGCCCTCTCAGCCAACCAGGATAATGGGTGTATGTCCAGCATGTACAGGTCAACCAGGAAACCAAAGCTTCCGTAGGGATCCAGTATGGCTTTTGCAGCGCATTACTACTGAGCTACCAAGTCGGACATGCCCTTGTCCTTTTTAAATACCATGTTCTAGTCAATGAATCGATTTTACATACTAATAGCTCTCTACATGCCTACATTGATTTTGTTCGCTGTTGTGCTCTTAGCATCTAGCATAGTGTCCAGAATATATCAGGAATCAAAGACTTGTTGGATTTTTACAGTTGCACTGTTTGGCCTATTTGGCTAACAGGACTTTCCTACTGATAATCTCTCAGTTCTTCCATGATGTTTTTCTTACCTCTGGCCCTTCATACCCGTTCTTCCCTCAGGCTGCCCTTGCTCTCTTCAGTTGGCCAACCAATCCTCATTCCTTAGCCCCCAGGTCTCTTTTATCTCTCTGCAGGGTAATTGCTTCTGTCTCAGCTGTCCAAGATCTCTGTGCCCCCCTTACCGTTTTTCTGATTTCTTTCATTTCTACCAGGTGTGACTCCAACACTCCCCACATCTCGCCTGTGAGTTCCTGGTGGCTAGGAGGCCTTAGGAGGCCTTAGGAGGCCTTAATAGTATCTCTAGTACTCAGCATAGCGCTTGGCATTCTGGTGGCTCTCATGTCATATTTTTTTCAGTATTTAAGTGGGAAAGTAGACTTATCAGTTAGAAACCCCTTTTCAAAGATTTTTCTCTGTACTTTTAATTGAGATATAAATCACATACCATGAAATTTAGTCTAAAAGTGCACAGTTCAGTGGTTTTTAGTATCTTCACCATGTTTTACAACATAACCATTAACCATTATTCCAGAACATTTCCATCATCCTCAAAAGAAAGAAAAGTATTTATTTTCTATCATTTCCCTCCACCCACTTCCCCACCCTGACTACTGCTTATCTTCTTTCTATGTCCTGATTTGCCTGCCTAAGCATTTCTTTTTTTTTTTTTTTTTTTGGAGAGGTTTTTTGGTATAGGGCGCATGCGCTTGCCAGACAGACACAGAGAGAGAGACAGAAAGTGAAAAATCACCCCCCGGGGTGATGGTCACGCCGCAATCCCTTCTCCTCCATTCTCCTCTCAGGATCTTGGGCACGCACGCACACGCGCCCGGCGTTGAGTTTTAAGCCACCGGGTCTGAGACACGAACCACAGTCGACTACGTGGGAGTCCAGCAACGTAGCCATTACGCTAACTGCTGGTTCCCCCTGCCTAAGCATTTCTTGTAAATGGAGTCATACAATAATTTGTAGCCTTTTGTGACTGGCTTCTTTCCTTTAGCATAACATTTTCCTGGTCCATCGTAGCATGTGTCAGTACTTCATATGTTTTTATGATTGAGTCATGCTTTGTTGTGAGGAGAGACCAAATTTTGTTTATCCATATATCAGTTTATGGACATTTGGGTTGTTCCTGCCTTTTGGAAATTATGAATAATGTACAGTGAACATTCATGAGTAAGTTTTTATGTGGATATCATGTTTTCAGTTTTCTTGGGTATATCCCTAGGAGCGGAATTGCTCAGTCATTACATGATCTTAATATAGGCAAGGTGTCAACGTGGAAACCATATTGAACAGTTTGTCTTTTTGATCTGAGAGGAGTGTCGCAGGATCAGTGTTACAAATATTTGCTTGTTATTCTGGCTTCACACAGCAGTGCTGGTTTGTTGAGTTATATTTGATAGACTGGGGGTCAATAATTATCTGTAACTTAGAGGCAAATGTTGTTAGAGTTCATAGGACAGAATCTACTGAATAGAATGCTCACACTGTAGACTGTTCTAACTATGGAGATGCCCAAACACGCTCTTGGCAACAGTGCTATAAGTCATTTGAAGCAGCCTAGGTATCTATCTGTACTGAACCAATTAGGTAAGTATAGCCATGTAATGGAATATTCTATAACTGTTTAAAAGAGGATGAGGTCAATCTTTATGTATTGATATAGGCTGATACCAGAAAAAAATGGGTTACAGATTAATATGTATAGGTTGAGCCCATTTTAATAAAAACCTTGTTTATATATGTATAGGCAAAACTTGGAAGGGTCATCATAGACTGTCAATATTGATTTTGTCTCTAGAATGTAGGTTATAGACAACTTTATGTTGCAGCTACTTAAATGTTTCTCCTTTTAAAATGATCAGTTAATTCGTTTAATGTCCCATGATTCTAGCTGGGATAAAAAGGGAACTGGAGATAACTATACCTGAAACACTATTTATCAGTGTAGGATATAATGTGACACATTGGCATATGACTAAATGCCAATACATCTGTAGTCAACATAGTAGTTTTACAAACTGTGTAAGCCCAGAGGGGAGAGAGCCTTTTAGTTTCTAGCAATCAAGGAGTCTTCATGAAAGAAAAATGAGACGTGGCTTGGGCCTTAAAGGTTGAGGTGGCATTTATAGAGCCTTCCTAGTTTATAGAGTCAAAATAAAACCATGCATTGTGTATTGTGTATTGAATGCTTTCTTTGTACAGGTATCTTATACCGCTTTTCCTGTATTCTCTCATTCAGTCTTCACAGTCACCCTGTGAGACAGATAATATGATCGCTCCCATTTTACAGAGGTTTTAGAAGACTAAGTATCCTGACCACATTCTCATTATTCATACATCTTAGAGTCAGAATTCAAAACCCTTGAGTATGAAATCAGCCTGAGCCTTTTATTCCATGTTAAACAGAAGGAGACTGAGGTAATGAGAATTTAAGTCAACTCATTTAAGATCGCATAGCTGGCAAATTGAGGAGCCAGGATCTGATCTCAGGATGTTCCCTAGTCTGCCATGTCTGTTACACTGATGCTTCCTGATATGGGCTCCAGGGCTGTTTACATTCCTGAGGGTGGCACTAGGAGGCTGGGAGTTTCTGGTTAGAGAGGTGTGCAGAACTCGGCCGGTCCCATAGTGGGGCAGGTTTATGCTGTGCATAGGGAGCCAGATTCCACATAACTGATCATGGTTTGAGTCCTGGCTTTGGCAACTTGAAGGACATGTTGGGCACATATGCATGTGTGTCCAAGTGCTGGCGGAATAGAGAAGTAGAAGAAAAAGGATTGCAGCATGACCATACCCTACTAGACGATGGTTTCTCTATTTTTCTGTGTCTCTTTCTATCTTTCTACTGAGAGCACATACCCTCTGGCCTCTGCCCCCCAAAAAAGTGAGAGGTATGCAAGAACGTTTTCTCCCATGCCCCCCTTCTTTGAGATTCACTTGTAAACTTATTAAAGAATCATCTACCATTTCTCAGACCTGCTCTCATCATCTCTTTTCAAGTAGCATGTAGTATGCTGCAAATCTCTTTATGAAACGCCATCTTCCTACTCTCTAAGGCATGAGTTCATGAACAGCTTTCTCTTTCTCTCTCTCGTTAGTAAATAAGAGTGCCAGTTCCAAGGTCTGGGGCTGGAAACAGATGATGTAGAACATATTTGTTGGAATTAGAGGAGTGTCATTTTATGCATGGGTTTGGGGTATGTTTGTAGCCAATTATACATTTTATTGAATCTTCCTTCTTAAGACACATGGCAGAGCCTAATGGGAAGGTCATATTTGCCATCTGTTTGTGACTTTTTGTTTCAGTAAATCATAAATCACTGTTGATGAATTACCTAGTTAACTTCATAAATGCAAATTATTCTGTCTGTATTCTAGCAGATTTCATATATTGAGTGTGATAAGTATCTGAGTGTCATCCCACTACTTTTTTTGCAGTAATATGTCATTATTATGTTTTATAAGACATTGTGATAAAATACACGTAACATCAAATATACCATGTTCACCATTTTTAAGTGTACAGTTAAATGATATTAAGTATATTGACATCGTGCAACCAGTCTCCAGACTCTCTTTAATTCATTCCATAGACATGCATTGAGCACTTGCTATAGATGTTTAAGATATACTCCCTTCTACAGTTAGTACAGTTCAGTACGGTGACAAAGTTCTCCTTATGGTATTGGATGGCTGGGGGGCTTCTGTGCCCCTCAGTGCTTCAGGGCTCCATCTCTTCTGGCTTCCTGCTTGGCTGCTTGCTGGTTGTTTCTCATTCCCTCAGCACTCCCTGAAGGAATAGTGTACCCCTGCTGTCCTCCAGAGCCTTGGGGAGATTTTGTCCTTGCCACAGCCCTTGCTATAGTTGAGCCCACGTGGCCTGAGGTGGGGGCAGGGCAAGAGAAGGGTGCAGCTGCCAAACCCAGAATTTTACCAAACCCCAAATCAACGGTTTGCCCAAATATAGTATCCTAGACCTTCCACCCGTCATGCGTAAGCTAAATATACTGTCCTTCAGCTTGCAAGTTCAGCTTCCTACAGGAATGACTTCTGTGATTATTCCTAAGTGCCTTTTCTCCATTTCGCGTTTGAAAAATGACCCTGGTGACGTGGCCAAAGTCCCAGACAAGGGGCATATGTGAAACTAAACATATTGGTGAGGACTAGGTCCATGTCACATTAGGTTTTGTGCATTTCCATGGAGACTTCTTGAAAGTGATAGTTATGGCATTCTTGCACAGTACAGAGCTCCTTATAGAGAAGAAGGTTTGTGATGATGACTAACTTGCAGGATCTCCTTCCCCAGAAAGTTAGACTGCCGATTTGAAGCTCAGTTGCCAGCACCATCTGGATGTGCACCCTGATTCTCCGTTTCACATGGCGACCCTGGTGACGTGGCCAAAGTCCCAGACAAGGGGCATATGTGAAACTAAACATATTGGTGAGGACTAGGTCCATGTCACATTAGGTTTTGTGCATTTCCATGGAGACTTCTTGAAAGTGATAGTTATGGCATTCTTGCACAGTACAGAGCTCCTTATAGAGAAGGTTTGTGATGATGACTAACTTGCAGGATCTCCTTCCCCAGAAAGTTAGACTGCCGATTTGAAGCTCAGTTGCCAGCACCATCTGGATGTGCACCCTGATTCTCCGTTTCACATGGCCACATTGTGGTGGGCTCAGAAAGACCATGATGTATACACAGTGTGAGTACAGGCTTCAAATTCAGGTTGCCTGGTTCTTTACTGGCTTCTTCACTTAACTAGATAAGCTGATTCATCTGCTTACCTATGCCCAGTTTTTTTAATCAGTAACATGGTAATAAAAGTACTCGTCCCTACCTTGTTGGATTTTTGATAGGATCGAATGGGCTAGCTAATAATGCATGTACAGCATTTTTACAGCACCTGACATGTAGCGAGAACTCAGTTGATGTTAGTTGTTTGTAGTATGTGAATATTAACTAGTTCAAGGAATATTGCAATTGTCATCAAGCAGTTGTTTTCTGCACCTCTGATTTTCACATTTTAGGTTATGTTCATGCAGCCTGTATATCCTGCTGCACCCAGTCCTTACACATGCATCCTTTTTTGAATTATTTGTTTAATTTTATTTTTATTATTTTAAAAATTTACTGTGGGATATGTCTGCTCACCAGAGAGAGACAGAGACAGAAGGAGAAAGCAAACAGCCAGGTCCGGGACTCAAATCGTGGTTGTCCGTGCGGGAGTACAGTGCCTTAACTACCATGCCACCTGCTAGCCTCCAAGATGTACCTTTTCTGCCTGGGCCACCAGGACTGTTAAGAAGTGTACATATTGGGACCAGCAGGTGGAGTGGTGGTTAAGGGTGCTGGACTCCCACATGGCCAACCAGGGTTCAAGTTCTGAACCTGGTGGCTTGCTTTCTCACTCTCTCCTCTCTCTCTCTCTCTTTCTAATCAAACTGGAAAATAATGATAATCAAATAAATAAAGTTAAATAAAATAATTCTTTTTTTAAAAACAAAAGAACCAGAGACATGACCCCATTTAAAAAAAAAGAAGTGTACATATTGAGATCAGCCTCAGGCCACTACCACTCCCGGATGCCCTTCATGTCCACCTGAAGTTCAGTTGTGGTCTGGAGGGAGACTGACCTGACCCAGGGACCTGACCTTTGCAGCCACTGCAGCACAAAACCCACACTGCCCCCTCCTGCCTGCCCTCTGTGGACTGTGGCGTATTCTCGTGTGTGCAGAGTTGAGGTCATACTCCTTCAGTGCTGTGGATGAGGCCTCCCCAAGTGATGCTTTTGTCACTCTGTCCTCTGGTTTCAGATTGTTTCCTGGGCTTCAATTATGAAATGAGGGTTGGAGTATGCCAGACTGGCTGATGTGGCTAGATCTGCAGAAAACTCGGCATGGGCCTGTCCGCTGTTCTGGTGGCTGCAGGGTTTATTTGGTCGAGATATGGTTGCCAGACAAATGTACAGCTCTCTCGTCACACAGGGCTGGTACCAATACTGACTTGTAATTATTCCCCCAAACTGGAGTCTGTTAGCTTTTAATTTCTTTGTGGGGCAGGAGAAGCTCCCAGCTCATTCACATTTGGAGATTTAACCAAGAACGAAACACTAAAACAATGAAAGTTCCTGCTCACCCAAACAATCTAGATGTGAACTAGTTTATCATTTGATTATCAGTAAGACAGTGGTAATTTTGCTGACATGTAAAGGCACAAAAATATCTAACTGTAACTAGTAGTTATTGCTCAATTTTATTTTATTTTTACGTTTTTGTCATAGGGCATGTGCACTCACTGTAGAGGGGAGAGGCAGAGAGTGGGATAGTGAGAGATCACCCCACAGTGGGTATGGGCATGCTTCAGTCCCCTGTCCTCTATTCTCCTCTTGGGATTTTGGACACACACACACACACACACACACACACACACACGTGCCCAGCATGATTTTCAAGACACTGGGTTTAGGACTTGAACTGCAGTTGACCAAGTGTGAACCCAGCTGCCTTAACCAACATGCCACCTGATGGCACAAAGAAAACTTTTACTTTTTTTTTTTAAAAATAAGGTCCAGTCAGTTTGCTGA